ATTAGGAAAAATAAAAATTAAATGAATCGTAAACTGTGTGCAAAACCCTTAAATATCCAATATTCTGACAGAAAATATATAAGATTGAGTATAAAACTGAGGTGTACAGTATCGGAAACTACGATCATTTAAATAATAACAAAATCCACTAGAGATTTGTAACCAATACGCTTTAGCCACACTATAAACTAACACTACACACTATTTCTTTAGTTTTTAGTTTTACTGATTACACATGACCATATTTATTCTCACGGGATACAATAATTCTAAGACTCCGAATTTCTTTATTTTTCCAATGTTGAGTCGTTATATTGAATCATTTATGACGGCCGTCAAATGTATCTTAAGAATATTTGATACAAGAATGTGTATGAGACGTATATATAATTAAGTTTGATTTCTATACAAGTTACATCTATACAGTGCTTTGGCTGCGAATATTTGGTATTTCAAATTATGCAGAAAGTAGTTAACTAGAGGAACATTGATAATTGACCTGCAGAAAAAGAGAGGCACATTGGTATTCCCATGCTACATTTGTAACAAAATATACTTATATCATTTTTATAGATTAAAATAATTATTTCTTGTATTAACTCGTAAAAGAATAAGCAAACCGACTTGTAACAAATGTCAGTTTGTAACAATGCGTTTGCATTGTGTTGGTGAGAAGTCATTTTGTAAGAATGAGTTTGCGTTATGTTGGTGAAGACCAAAAGAGGAATCTCTTGGCCTTTTCCTTTTTCAAGCGGCGTTGAACGTCACTATTGCCGTATCATGATTTTGACATGATTATTTTTAGGGAAAGATAGATGCAAATTTGATAAAACAATAGCAGGCTTATAAAATAATATTAGATGGTTAGTGTATAATTTTGCAGAGATGACAACATTTGCGCTAATGATGTAATTAACGGATCACTTAAAAAATGTAATTAACGGATTTTCTTTTTTTAAATGTGTGTTTTCTATTTAATAAAAAGGGCCACATTCTTTTTGAAACTTAAAGGGCCACATTTTAAACACTATATATTCGTTGTGGGGAAAAAATAACTATTTGAAATCTCAATTTTTAGCAAGACCGAGGATTTGAATTTGAAAAAATAGTTCCATGGCTTACTTGAAATATATAGCAAGACCGAGGATTTGACTAATATAGAATTTAAAACAAAAAGACTAATATGGATAGTCATGATAATAATTATAATCGGGGATTGGAGGCATATAAAATAGGTAGACAATAGTGGCAAAACTTTAATGATGAAGATAAAGATTATTGTAGAGTCCCAACACATTCACCAATCCGCCTAACCACAAATAAACTCATCTCTATATCGTTCTCTAATGGTGTCGTCTTGTATTTAATGTCACTTGGATATATCAATGCGAAATACTAAAAGAAGTTTTTTATATAAAAAAACAAAATGAAGAAATACACAATCATGATTAGCAAATTGAGCAAGTACAAACCATAACACTAATTTAAAAAGAGAAAAAAAAACATTCAGCTTTTTAAACATGTAAAATTTTTGGTTTGTATTTTGAAAATATATAAAAGAAAAATAAAGGGAAAGCAGTAGTCAAATGGTAGTGGTAATTAGGAGGGACCATGAGAAATCATGAGCTTCAGCTACATTTCCCATGGATTCCTCGGAACCACTTTTTTTTATTTTCTCTCCTTACATTAATTAATACTATTAATAAATAAGGTTTAATTAGGAAAGATATGGAGGGTCATTACTCGTTAGCATTGAATTATGTTGCAAAACAAAATCCCAAAAAGAAATATCACAATTAAGAAATATGCAATGAATGGTTATATGATGATAAAGCTGAATAGAAAATATAATATCTGAAAATAAAGAAAAAGATAGTATAAATAAATAAAGATACATAATCACAAATCAGAAACGCATGAACTCAGAACGGTCCCTGCTTGGAGTGTGTGTGTCTGTTGTTCCAGATCAAGATATATGGATGGGGACCATATTCTTCTGAGCTGATCCTTATGTTCTCTACAGTACACTTTCACTCTCTACTTGACACGTGTTAGATCTGTACTTCACTATCTCACTTAGGCCCAGGCCCACTAATCCATAGCATCTCCAACTTGCTCTATTGTTTGCTGCAAACTTCATTTGGAATAAATTTCATTTCAACCCTACTCTATTTTTTACTGCAAATGGCAAAAAAATAGAGATTGTTCCATATTTGGAGTAAACCTTTATTTTACTCCATTTTACAGTTATATTTTTTTATTTATAAATTGATTCTTGATATATTAAATTTTGTAAAATGCCAGATAATGTCTTATCTTTCTTGTAATTTTTACTGATATTGAGACCGAGGATAATCTCAACATTCTCAAGAATTATCTCCATGTATATATATATATGTTATATCGACACTGGTTTTATATTTAAATTTTAATATTCTGATTCATTTTTATATTACTGGATTTTTGCTACTGAATCTTCTTTTGTAATCTTCTTTTTCTTCTTGATTCCTCTTTTTGTAATAAGTGGTCTCCATAACTCTGTAAAATCTTCAAATGGTATGAATCTACCAAAAAAAAAAGGGTTATCGGTTGGTTTAAATCGAATGATGTTCTCCAATCGACTAAATGGAGGATGGGGACCGAATTTAATGTCTTAAAAACTGAACCATGGAAAATTCAAACCCCTTTGAAGTAAAAATATTTTATTTGGCACATAACCTTAGAAAGATTGGCATTAACTATTAAACTTATAGCAACAGAGGAATTAACTGCGAGATTATTTATCAAAATGTGTAATAGAAGAGAAAACGATAAATCTTTTTTCGATTCTTTTGGCTTCGTTTGTTTGTCTATCTAGCTCTGATTATTCAAATTTGGACTATATATTTGTAAAAATCACCAGATTATCATTGTGGATCTAGATATATATTTCTTTAACCAAAAAAAATCATTGTGGATCAAGAGGTTCCCTTAAAAGCATTTTCCTTTGGCAATATGGTTTATTTGAGAATCCATGATGAATAAAAATGTTTTCATATAGATTACTAGATAGTGAAATTAAAAGACGTCGTTAGTGAATTTAAAGAATGAAAGGAAGTTCAAAGTCTTCCTAATCAATTAACTGTTGAAACTGGCAATTTTAATATCAAAAGTTCTATAAGTTTATAAAGTTTACACTACATGTATAACGAGAATAATATTGTGAAACCAAATGTACGGACGCATGCAGTTTATGTGCATGGAAATAGAGAAGCAGATCACGTGTTTGAGAATCTAATCTAACGTACAACGCAGTTGCAATGCCGTTGAGTTTCAATCTAACACGACGTACCGTTTTAGCTTTTGCTTCTTTTTTGTTTATTTGTGTTGACCCAAGGACTTCAACTCCAGCTCAGTTTACTCTATCTTTTTATTTAAACCTTTTTTTTTTAAAAAAAACCTTTTTTCATTATTAAAAGATAAAGAGAATTAACGTAAATAATCAGTTTATATAATCTACAGATCCGAATAGATGTGTAGCCTTTCGAACATTATGAAAACTAATATTTTCTTGCCAACGAAATAACTGTGGAATTTAAACTAAAAAGAAATTAAAGAAAAAAAAGAAATGACTGTGGAACCAAATGAAAGTCTAAAAATATCAATCGGTTCAATATCTATTATCTAATTTACTCCAAGTAGTTAGTTGATAGATCAAGATCGATCGACGAGAGGCGTTCTCTTCCATGCTTTTGTTGGTTTTACTCATGAAAGATACGAAAGTCGAGAGGTCCATTCTCATTTATGTCTTCTTTATTAAAAAAACCCTCAAACACTCTTATCAAATTGAATTTAAAGTTTATATTTATATCTTTTCAATCTAAAAGTCTCTTTCATTTGTCCCCGAAGGATTAATTTATTACATATGAATTATCGTTGTCATTGAACCCAATTATTTTTCTATCATACGATTATAAACTTGTACACTATAGTAAGTTATTTTATATAACTGGTCTTCATTCGATTTCCAAAAAAAAAAACAAAAACAAAAAGCAACAGTTCTTCAAACGAAACGTGACAAAAAAAAACATTTAAACAATTGCACCTATTCCTTCTGATTTCATACATTCCAAACAGAACACAACAAGTTGCCAAAATGAACAGATTTCAACAATTAACTCTGTAGTTCTTTGTTACCCACATAGAAATTTTAGCTTTATACATTATTTTTGTTTCCTCTTCAACCAAAATATTTAATTTTTTATTCAAACTATTCATTTTGCGGGGGCAAGACTAGGGAACGAGTACCACCGTCTACAGTCCATCATCTTGAGTATTTATTTAGCTACTTATTTAATTTTGGTGCATAATCTATCCGGTCATAGGCTTGCAGTAGGATAGTTTGAGTCTAGGGATTTTGGAAGCATATTGGAACAAACAAAAAAAATTGATTGGATTTTGGTTCAAGTAATTTTTCAATTCAATTCTAAGGAAATTTGGTTCAAATTTATACAAAAAAGATTGTTACTTTTGACAAAAGTAAGTAAAGGACAGACATTAATATATTTTGATTAATTCGATATTTCTATTATTTAGATCTAAATATAACTGATATTAACAGATTTATACTATGATTTTATGTATTTTAGTTTATTTTAATCTAAATTTCTTAATATTTTGGATATATAATTTATATTTCAAATATTTTAGATATTTATTCAAGTTTTATTTGGTTCTAGTTTAGTTCAGATATCTAAAATATTGTAAAATAGAAATTATCCAGATATTTATGATTATTAGGTCGGGTTTGCTTTTTTCAATTAGGCTCACTTTCTTATTTTTAACATAAAAATAAATTTATTATGGGATAGTTTAAAATTTGAAAGAAAAAAAAACCAAAAATTATTCGACTTACAAATGCAATGTTGAGAATCTTTATATTGGATAATTGGATAATTGTTTTTGCAAATTTGCTTAGGAAAAAAAAAAAGTAAAACTAACGGGGAAATTTGCTAATCATCTTTTCGCAAGAGAAAGAAAGAGAGACAGAGAGAGTAAGAAAAAGCAAAAAGAAAAAATAAAACGGAAGAGAAAAAGCAGAGTGATAAAATAGCTTCGTTGTCACTTGTCACTCTATAAATCTCACTCCATTGACAACCTTTCACTTCCATCAAAACTCCCCCCAATACACACACTCTCTCTCTCTCTCTCTCTCTTCCTTAACTCTCTGTCTAAAAAAAATGGAGAAACCCATGATTCCGACATGGAGACCCGATCCGGTTTACCGGCCACCGGAGACGCCGCTTGAGCCGATGGAGTTCCTCGCTCGCTCCTGGAGCGTCTCAGCTCTCGAAGTCTCCAAGGCTTTAACACCTTCGAATCCTCAGATTCTCCTCTCCAAGACCGAAGAAGAACCCATTTCCTCCGGCGACGGAGACACGGAGGAGAACGGACTTGTCTCCGGAAATCCTTTTTCTTTCGCTTCTTCAGAGACTTCTCAAATGGTCATGGATCGTATCTTGTCTCACTCTGTGAGTTTTCTTCTTCTCTCTTCTTTCCTTTTTTCCTTTTCAGATAAAAACAGAGCATTTGCGGACAAAACTAAGCATTATTGACAAATTTCTCTTTCAGTTTCTTTCTTTTTTGTTTTTGTCCTCAGATTCTTAATCACTACACTTTTGTTTTTTGCTTAATTTCTTTCAAAAATTTCCCAAATCCAGTCTAAGCAAATTGTTCATCACTCTCTCTTTAGTATGATTAATGAATGAATCTTTCACGCGCAATAATTGTAATTATTAATCATCCAAATTAAAAAAAAAAAGGAAAAATTCATGATTATACATATCTACACACTCGCTTTCTGGGTCCCTATAAACATAATCACAAGTTTTTGGATTTGTCATCATCTCTCAAACAAAGAGGTTTCTTGATTCTACTTTTGTCTCATCTTCTTCATTCTTTTTAATAATTATTTTGTTTTGCAGCAAGAAGTATCACCAAGAACATCTGGTCGGCTTTCACACAGTAGTGGTCCTCTCAATGGTTCTTTAACCGACAGTCCTCCTGTGTCTCCTCCCGAATCCGACGACATTAAGGTTTCGATTTTCTTTCTTAAATTAAACATTATTAGTCGAAAATCTGGGTTATTTGTTAGTAAGGAAGCATTTTCTGGGTTTCTGCAATTTTTATTCTGCGTTTCTCTCTATGTAAATGTCTCAATTTTTACTGCGTCACTGACAATTTTGGGTTACATGAGAGACAGTGTCATAAAAATACCACCTTTCTCTTTATCCAACCATACCCAGAGATCATGTTTTTTCTCCACTACTGTTTCCAATGACTATTCATCATTTGCTTTTCAAATGCTACAATTAATTAATTACTCGTGTAAATCTTCTTAATTATTTGTTTATTATACGATCACTGGAGTACTATTTTAGTGACACTTTGGTCTAAAGCAATCTCCTTTACTTGATTTGATTTTATCTTTTTCTTGTTCATCACTCTTCTCCAAAGATTTTTCCTTTTTGGGATTTTGCTTCATTAATATCTATTTCTGGCGAAACCCTTAATCTTGACTTACTATGCAGCAATTTTGTCGAGCAAACAACAATTCACTAAACAACATAAACTCTCAATTCCGATCAACGGCGACAACTCCGGGACCTATAACCGCCACAGCGACACAGTCCAAGACGGTGGGACGGTGGCTTAAGGACCGGAGGGAGAAGAAGAAAGAGGAGACTCGAGCTCACAATGCTCAGATTCACGCCGCTGTTTCTGTCGCCGGCGTGGCTGCCGCTGTTGCTGCCATCGCAGCAGCCACCGCCGCGACTTCGAGCTCCGGGAAAGATGAGCAGATGGCGAAAACCGATATGGCGGTTGCTTCGGCGGCGACACTTGTGGCTGCTCAGTGTGTGGAGGCTGCTGAAGTGATGGGAGCAGAGAGAGAGCATTTGGCCTCCGTTGTTAGCTCCGCCGTCAATGTTCGCTCTGCCGGAGATATAATGACTCTCACCGCCGGAGCAGCGACAGGTTTTGTAACTTCAATAATCTGTATTTTGGGTTTTGATTGATTTTGATGAAGAAAACGCTAAAATTGCTTTAGGGCTTTTGATTGAGTGAAAAGTTGGAAACTTGGTGATGAAATCGAATCATTTGTTCTTAAAGTTCAGATTTTGATGAAGGAACAGTAAGAAATCATCTAGCAACTTCAAAAGTCTATGATGGGTTTTGATAAAGCTTTGATTTTGGTGAAGAAAATCGAATCATTTGATTTTAGATGAACATGTTTAACACTTCTTGACCCTGTAATGGCGATTGCTAAAGTACTCATTTTGATGAAGAACTGATCTAGGGGTTAACTCAAAATTGACACTTTATGAGGAAACCAAAAGTTTGCTGTTGTGTAATTTGATCTCATTTTTGGTGCAGCGTTAAGAGGAGTGGCGACCTTGAAGGCGAGGGCGATGAAGGAAGTGTGGAACATTGCATCTGTGATTCCAATGGACAAAGGACTCACTTCTACAGGAGGATGCAGCAATGTTAATGGTAGCAATGGAAGTTCGAGTAGTAGCCACAGTGGTGAACTTGTACAACAGGAGAATTTCTTGGGAACTTGTAGCAGAGAATGGCTCGCTAGAGGTTGCGAGCTTCTCAAACGTACTCGCAAAGGTAACAAAAGCTCTAATTTTTTCATTATTAGATTACGTTTTAGTTCGTGGATCTTTTGTCTAATGTTGTGTGAACTTTTGCAGGTGATCTCCACTGGAAAATAGTTTCTGTCTACATCAACAAGATGAATCAGGTAAAGATTGATTCCTTTGGTAATCTCGAGGTTCTCATTCACTTTAGAAATGATCGTTTGATCTGATGAAAAAGATTAAAGAGAGCCAAATTATTTGTGAATCAGTGGGAATCTTTTAGTTACTTCACATGGATGTGAACTTTGTTATATGAAACACACAAAAAGATGAGAAAAAAAGAAATTTCAAACGGCAGGAAAAGAAGAGAAAGCAGAAAGAAAACTAAAGCTTTAAAAAAGAAAGCATTGGTTATAACAATGATGATGAGAGTGAAGTCATGGGATCCACTTTTGTCTTTTGCTTAAGCATCTCTTTGAGAATCACCAATTTGTTTTGATTGTTTTGATTAATGAACTTGAAGGTTATGTTGAAGATGAAGAGCAAGCATGTTGGAAAAACCTTCACCAAGAAGAAAAAGAGTAAGCGATCTTTCACTCTTAGTATCACATATAACATCTCTTTCAGTGAACGCGATTTTAATTTTAAAGACATTAAAGATGATTCTGCTAATGGGGTTTATAAACAAAGAATGTTTCTGATTGCTTAGTTTGATACCAGTCACAGTTCCAAAGTTGATAGCTTTAACTTTTTGGCACTATCTACTGTCAATGAGTCAATTATATGTGAACCCTGGTAAAGAGAATTCAAAATTTTGATGTGGGTCTGCTTTTTTGGATTTGGGGATTTGAGAAGAAAAGAGGAAAAATGAAAGAAAACAAAAGCAAAAGTGTGTGTTACTAAAGTAACTATAGGATCAAATCAAAAGTGGCCCTCAATCTTTTACTTTTTGTCTGTTCTTTTGAATGTGAGCTTGAAGACTCTTTGTTAATTATTTCAACTTTGTTTCCAATTTTGTTCAGACATTGTGCTTGAAGTGATCAAGAATGTCCCTGCCTGGCCCGGTCGACATTTGTTAGAAGGAGGAGATGATCTGAGATACTTTGGTTTGAAGACTGTTCTGCGAGGTGATGTGGAATTTGAGTGCAAGAGCCAGAGGGAGTATGATATGTGGACACAAGGTGTCTCAAGGCTTCTTGTTGTTGCTGCTGAGAGGAGATTTAGGATGTGAATAGTAAACTATTTAAAAATGGCTGGCTTGGTTTTGGTGTGGTTTTTAACTTATGGGGTTCAAATCAAAACTTTGAGAAACTTTAGGTTCTTTTAAGGTGATTGTTTTTTTGGGGGGTGGGTATAGAATGTAATGGACCTACCAAGTACCAGTCAAGGTTTCAACACGAAGGTGGGGAGGGGTTTGGTTTGGGTAAACCAAAGTTAGGGGGTGATCTGTAATTTTTATTTTCTTAGGTTTCTTCTTCTCTTTGTTGGTGGTCTTTTTGTATAAAAAAACAAAGTTGAAGTAAAAGATATAGTATATTTTATTATTGATGGGTCCATTTCCGATTTTTATCGGGAACATCAAATATGCTTCGTTTTTGTCCCATTATTGCTGAAATATCCATTAAGAAGCTGCACATTTTTTTATTTTTGTACACTAAGAAGATGACAGATAAATCATAAGAATTGTTTGGTATTGTTAACAAACTAACTTATCACGTGTTTTCTCAATCCCATCAACATACCCAATAATCTATATTTATGTTCTGAAAAAATTAATCAGCCATTGTTGTTCTTCCTCGAATTCGATCTTACACATTGATTATGAATGCTCGTTCGCTTAGCAGAATTTACACATTGATCAAAATAGTTAGATGCATAGACATTGTTTTCAGACTAATTTATAGTATATTTGAAAGAGTCTATTAAAAAAACATAGCTTTTTCTGTAGATACCTTGAAAAACACGAAACCCCTAAAACCCAAAACCCAAAGTCTTTAGAGTTTTCAAGATTTTTACAAAAGCGACGACCAAATAGCAACCTAGTAAAAGGTTTGTGTCTGAAATTAGTTCCAAGTAACTGAGGACATTCATATAAGATGAAATTAATCATCTTCATTAATCATTAGTGTCCTGATCAATTTTCGTGAATCTGTAGATTGTTAGGTCTAGTACCATTGTAGCAGTGAGAGGAACCTCCAGAACAAGCACCCCCCTGTTTTTCAGAAGTAATTGTAGTTGGAAATATAAGATTAATGTAAGATCAAAAGTCAATTTTTTTTTGCAACAGATGGGTATGAAAACAGAGGTAACACTGTTTCTTGACATAAGCATGAAATATGTTTTGCCCTGTTCCTCTCTTTACATGATTTGTTCAAACCAGCACTTATGTAGTCAGATAGCACCAAAGATTGGCTCTTTTTTTTTTATCCCTAAACAGAGATCTCCACAATGAGCTTGTTATCCATTGTTGGTTGATTCAAGGCAAAATGCTACGAATGATGAATGGATCTGAGACAATGTGTCTTTGATCAACATGCAAGCAGTACCAAGAATGTAGATCTTTTTGTATCCGCTCACAGATTCATATTTTTAAGAAGCCAAACTGCTTGTCGTTTTTGCATTTCGGTGACTTAACCACTCACTCATTGGGTTTGATTAACTTAACCAAAATCCAAACTAAACCACGGTTTTAGCAGATTTTATCCTTTTTTTACAGAAGATAATTACTGTTTAAGAAAACATTTATTGGAAATTGAGAAGAATCTATATACTTATTTGTGTAGTGATTTGCTGATGTGTCGTATTTACAACGAATTTCACAGTTTTTCGCTTATGTGTCAGTTCCAAAATGAGTTTCGGCTCCATAATGAGTTTCGGCTACAAAAAGACCGTTTAGCCCATTTTACAATTACGTGTCATTTTTTTATTAGTTCTTATCTGATGATGTGTAAAAAAAACTTAAAACAAATCGGTTTTAATTATTATAGTTTAATGCTTAATTCCATAGTCAATCAAACCGTTTTTAAATTTATATTAAACCAAAATTTTAAAAAATTAGACAAAAACGTTTTTTTTAAATAGAAATTTACCATTTCTTATGTTTCTAAAACTTAGAAAAAATCTAACTAAAATGTTAAAAGAAACAAAAATTGGAATAAAATTTAGAATGTCGTTTCAAACAAAAAAAAATAAAAATTATGCTAGAATATCACTAATTATTATAGTGTTTACGATTTCTAATGCTTATAGGATTTTCAATTTTTATAATTTTATAAAACTAAAATTTAGTAAAAATTTAAGAAAAGAGTAAAAAAAACAATAAATGAAATATATATGTCTAATGAAATGTCGTTAATTATGATATCTAGGATAGGATTTTTGATTTATTATCTATATACTTCAAAAATATTTTTTAACCTTTTTGTTAAAATCAAAAATGTGTAATTTAGAATAGAAATAAAAAAATTTAATGCTTATAAAATCATTTATTTATAATATTACACTTGGTAAACATATATAATCCAAGCGAGGCGTGGGCAAATGAACTAGTTTGCAATTATATATAGAATATTTTCTTCCAAATGACATTGTAGCATTTTGTGGCGATTCCTTGAGAAACAAGGTAACCCCTTAAACCCAAAAGCCTTGAGAGTTATCATTATCTTTACAAAATATATTTAAGCATAAGAGCAAATAACAAGACTTCTAGCCTTTAAGTTTTTTTTTTGTCTGGAATTAGTTCTAAGTAACTGAGGACATTAACAGATAGGATTCAAATCACTGAGAGACATTCACGTTAATACCAAGGAGATGGAGGAAGAGATTGATGACGTCCAGATACAGAGAAATCGCAGCGTGGATATACTCGTCGTAGTCCAGTTTCTTGATCAGCTGGTTCGTGTCGTAGACGATGTATCCGCAGAACAAGATTGCAGCAAAACCGCTCAATATCATCGACGATAGCTTCCCCAAAGGATAGAATATCTACATTTTTGTTTTGTTTCCATTCTCTTAATTAATGTCTCTCAAGTACTATAATGAATCTGATATGTTCGAGATTTTATAAATCAGTTACTAGTATACCTGCAACAGAGTGAAGACGAAGACGATAAGGAGGGCACCGAAGAGGAATGGTGCAAGGAAGGAGAAATCATGGCCTCTCTTCACTGCCCAGAAAGTGTAGATCGTTAGGCCTAGGACCATTGTAGCGGTGAGAATTGCAGCTTCCAGAACAATCCTCCCTGTTTTTCCAGAAGAATGAGATTGTATTATCAATCAAGCTAACACCATCATGTAAATATGAACTTATACTATAATACTCAATCAGACAATCACATTGTTTTTGCAATAGATATGGTGTTAACTCTAGTACTCTCTAGATGTAGAAACAGAGAAGTACATGCTTAGTTACTTGGGAGAAGCATGAATCGTCTTTTTGCGCTCTTTACATGAATCTTACCATATTCAAACCAACATGTTACTAAAAAAAATCCAAACTTTTTATGATCAAGTGCAAATTCAATCACAAAATCTGGATGCAACACTGAATCTCCACACAATGGGCTTGCTTAACATGGAACTTTCAAAACAGAGAACATTCCAAAGGGGGAAAAATCTGTGTTTTGTGACACTACTCACAATACAACAAAGCAGAGACACAAAATAGGAAAGTTCTGTATCCAAATAGAGCCATACCTTTAGAGAAAGAGCAGCAAAGCCCCACAGCAAAAGAGATGGAGAGAGTGAAGAGCGTTAAGATGATGAGATTGATTGGATGCTTCTTCGCAAACGCAATCAGTGGCCACAACACTACAAATCACACACACACACACACACACAAAAAACAGAAACTTTATCAATCCAGATCAGTGAAAACCTGAAATAAACTAAATGGAGAAATAAAACAAGCGAAATCTATCAAATCCTAAGCTGATACGCACAAGTAAATGGTTCATAGCATAGCTAAAAAACCCTTAAATAAGCGAGAAATCGATGACGCAACTGAGTAGAGGAAGAAGGAGAGAGACGAAGAAGGCAACGAGGCCGTGATTCGTCGTCGTGATGAAAACCGGAATCGCACGGACGAAGAAAACTACGGCGGAGACACCGACGGTGAGAATCAGCTGAAGAGACAAGATGATGTAAACCTTCCTTATGAAAGCCCAGCGAAGCTCGAAGCTCTCCTTCGTCATCTTCGGATACAGCTCGTTGTTACCAGTGATGATCACTCCTTCACCACCTCTCTCTATGTCAGATTTCGCCATTGTTGAAACCACACAGAAGAAAAAAATCAGAGTGTGAAGGTTTTAGCTTTTTAATGGCTCTTTTTTTGCTTTTTCACTGTCACAAGGAAATTACTAGGAAAGTGATGAGAAGAAGGGTAGTGATGAAGTTACTGTTCCGTCACTGTGATTACACAAACAATCCAGTTATATTTAGACACGTGGCTCCGGGAAAGTATGGGGTGCTTGGTTCAGTCACTGTTCCGTGACTGTAATTCTTTAAACGAACCAGTTATGTTACGACACGTGGTAGAGCTAGACCTCTTTTGCTTCTGTGTGATTTTTTTTCCAATATCTCATAAATTTTGCATGGGAATAGAAAGGGGGACCACACTGTACGGAATAAAGTTTGTTGTTCTGCATTACTAGGATTAGTTGTAATGCATTAACCATTTAATTATTACATTGCAGATTAATACAAATTATGTGCATAATTATTAGATATCATATCATCGCAGTAACAATTGTTAGTTTTGTTTGTTGTAACAAGTATAGATTACTTCAACGGTAAAACTATGAAAATTGTTGTGAGTTGAGGTGCAATGAATGTAAGATTGGTAAGAGTTTTAAAATCTCACATTTGTTGACAAAGAGAAAAAAATCTCGCTTTATACCCACCAAAATAAACATTACCTATGACAATCTAGTGACTGAAATGGTGTAATGAATGTATGAGAGATAAGAGTTTTAGAAATCTCACTTTGTACCCTAAAATATTCATAGGGAGTAGAAAAAGAAAGGCATGAACAATTAATATATATACATACATATTGGTAGATGTTGTTCTTTAATTATCAATATAGTAACATCAAAATACAATTATTTATTCATACCGATTGGACAAATAATCTCCACTTCAAAATACAATTGCATAGCTATACAATGCTCCATTGGTGATTTGGTGCTGGGTTAGCTTTGTGATATGTCTACTACATTGTATAATCTACGTCTTGGCTGCAGTAAAGTTCATGATCATTCCCCTTTTTTATTTTTATGGTTGTAATGGTTTTAGCTGCTTCATTATAACCATTTCTGTTTATCAATTTAAGAAAGCTAAAATATCTAGCAGAACTATGACTACCAAAGTATCTAGTAAGTTGAAAAAGTGTAATGAATGCATGATTTTATGAGTGTTTGATATAATATTTGGCCCATTCAAAGTTTATTGGAAAGTATGGGCTACCCTTATGTACAAGATTTAAGCCCGATGGACTTTTATGCATAATAAGAGAGAAGTTATAAAGGGTAAAAATAAATTTATTGAAATTTCATTGCATGTTGAATTAATAAAATAATTAAAAAGTGGGGGTAGAGAAGAATTTAATTGGAGTTTCCAAGTGTAGGACGGTGTCTATGAACCTACTCAAGGACTGTTCTCTGATGTTTATCTAAAACTATATGAAAAAAGTATCACTTGATGCGATAGATTTGACAATGCACTTCTCATTTTCTGATCAGATTTTTTTTAACCTGAGCACATTTGTTAGTTTTTTGTTTATTGGTACTTAGCACCATTATTAATTTATTATTATGATTTCTAAAACAAATCAATAACACTGACGACATACACTTGTGTATATGCTTCTTGTTCTGTTTCTTTTATAGCTTTGATATCCTTGTTTTGGATCCGGTTGGTTATACAAATCAATACACGTTTTTTAGCGGCTGTGTACAGAGAATGGTAATAGGATGTATCGAAATAATTTGTTTTTTAAAAGTTACAAGCAAAGACAGCAATATAAAAAAAGTTGATCATATCGATTTTATTATCGCTAGTTATTACTGCTATGATAAAAGATTGCCAATTAAACCTTTTAGCGTTTAATTATTGTTTAGTTGCTATATTTTGGCTTCTTTGAACCTTATATTAAAATATCAAAATAGGATCTCAAATATAAAAAAAATAAGATCAGTCTGGTAGAGACATATTCTGTAATATAATTACGGTTTAGAGTTTTTTGGTCGCTTGTGTAAAAATTGATTGACAATCTCATTTCTCGGTTGCTCTATTAGTTTTACAAATATCTTTTTGCTATATGGTACAAAAAATTTTTTTTACCATAATTATTGGTTTTGACGGTGCAAAGGTTTTAAACCGAACTCTAATAGTTGATGTATTTGTGTCGATTTTGGCCAAATCTTCATATAATATAGTATTTTTGTGCTAAATTCATATAATATGGTTTGTATATATAGGTTTTCGTATAATATAGTTCTGAAAAGGTAAAAGATGGCGTTTTCTTTGATCCACATTAAGAAAAGATTGTGTAGTGTGTGGCAATTATTCCATATGTTTTATAAACATCTGATCTAATTTACAAACTAATAAAAATAGGTTTCAGTGGAGCCAAAAAGTCTTTTGGTATGCCTAAACCCTAACGCATTTTTAGTATGAACGATATCTTGGTTTTTCCTCGTTGAATGGGCAAACAAAGTTATTCTTACAAAAAAAAAAGTGGGAAAATAATTTACAGAGAAAAAGTGGGAGCTCTGTCTATACAGTCCAGCACCAACCCAACCAAACCCATCACATCAGTCTCATCTCTGTAAACCTCTTTTGATTATTGTATTCTTTTCCAATTCCTTTTGAGTTTTGACGTTATTTACACTTCCCTCTATAAAAAAACATATATTTCGTTTAATAATTTTTTTTTTAAAAAAAAATTTAGATACGAGGCAAACGTACCAGAAACAAATGTCGTAAAAGTGTAAACAACTTTTTAATCGGACATACAAGGCGATATCTCTAATCTACAAATTATTTTTTATGTATATTACATATCAACTAATCGTTTTTTTTTTTTCAACTTAAAAGGTATTCTTTTTCTTTGTCTAATGAACTAAGAATGAATAGTGGTCACGTTGACATTTTTAATATGTTCATAACATGATCTAACTGCAGTATAGCTGATTTTAGACGATTAAGGTGTTTAAAACATGGACATGATTGAAGTCACATATCTCGAAGTTGAATATAACAAATAACATTGTATCAGAAAGTGGAACTTTCGTATATAAAGCTGAAGATGTACAAAATCTGCTTCCCCTTCGACCAAAAAAAAAAAAAAATCTTCTTTCTCATGCAATAACCCTTGAAGGTTCTCTTTGTTTCTATGACTTCATGTCTGATTTAATTAGAGCATTTCTGTGAAAATTTTGGAATTCATGTGAATAGAAGGAGAAAATGTTCTGTTTTGGTTAGGCCTAGGAGATTTTCCCAACACTAACCATGACTAAAATCATATGTTTTTGGTTTGATTTGTTATAGTTATTGTATGAAACCAATATGTTTCAATCAATTTATCTGAAATAGTATACAAGACAACACAGAGACATAGCTGCTTCAAAACTCTTCTTTTACCTCTTTGTCTCATTTTTCTAACTTTCAGGGTTTCAAAATTGGCATTAAATTATTTTCTTTTTCTTGGTAGAAAACTTTTCCTTTTAGTTTTGTTCCTGTTTACTTGGATTTATTACTCTAAATGCATATAACATATGCAGTACCAAAAAAAATCCATACAAAGTTCTACAATAGCCACCCTCCTGTTTTTTCGAACCTCGGTGGAATATCAATTTTCTCACATTAAAATAGAAGGTAACATCATATAAAATTAAGATATTCGCATCTCTCAATTAAATTTCTAATTTTAGAGAAAACAAGTTAATAATTAAAAGTGCTATATAAAAATTTTACAAAGGTGTTCGTTATGAACTTATGATTCAACACGATGCAGTTGTTATTAATAGTCAACGTTTGGATAGAGTACAAATGGCCCACACGACTAAGAGGGTAGTTAGACCATCTCCAACTATATAGTCTTTAAGGGTTAGTCGAAAAAAAAAAAAAAAGTCTTTAACAAGGGTTCTAATTTTATTTTTAATAGTTTTTTGCTCATTTTAATGCACTAGAGTCTTTTATAAATTTTTTTATTGTTTAGTGTCCAATAATAGTCTCTTAAAGGAGGCTCTAATATTTTTTTTTGTAATTTTTCAAATACAAACACTTTATTAATACAAATATTTTATTAATACAAACTTAGACATAGAATACAGAAAAACAAAATAAAATAGAGATGCAAATCATAAACCAAAAATAATAAAATTAATTATAATCTTGAATTGTATCAAACTTATTCCATAAATGCTCAATTAAATCTTCTTTAAATTGGTCATAGTTCGATTACGAACTGAATTACAGATGCCCATAATATTAGTGAGATTTGAAGATAGAATACGTCATATCTACATGTAAAGTTCTGTTTGCTTCTATTTGTGTGAATTTTTCAATATTAAACTGAGCGTACCCACCTCGTTCGTCTTATACAATGTTATGAAGTATTATACAATGAATCAAAGCCAATGAATCAAGTCGCTTCTTCTGTTCACGGTCGTGTTTCCGATGAGAAGAATCCACCGGAATCTAAGCAGAACGCCGGAGGAGAAGGAGCTTATGTCGTCGCCGCCATCGACTCACGAACGCCGGAGGAGAAGGAATCGCCTTTCTCTATACTTCAATATCACCAAAGTCAAAGAAAGAAGATAGAAAATATTCTATCTCAAAACATTTGAAGACTCTACATAAATAGTGTTTGATTAAAAAAAAAAATTATAAACACACTACCAATCATTTTGCATTATGTATGGGTTTCAACCCAGACTTTTCAGTCTCTAAAATAAGAGACGGCGCAAGCATATTAAACCATTAAAACATTTTTAAAAAAATCATAAAAACAATTAAACCCCTCCTAATACTACCATTGGAAGTGGTCTTAGAACTTAGTAAATAATTACGTATTTTTATGTATTAAAAGCTCATAATCATACTTATGATAATTTCGTAAATATGGTTTATATTCGTTGAATCCGAACTAAGATGTACTTATATAAATAAGCAGTCATAATAAGGTATTTTTCTTGAAAAAATAGATACCTGCTTATTTTCTAAACTTGAGCAAAACGTTAAACATTTTATTTTTCTAAGTTTCTTATGAATAATTAAATTAAATGCAAAAAGAGAAAGTCAATAAGAATGCAAAAGGATATTCATCATCATGACCGTAGCGTAGGAGAATCTCTGTAAAAATATTTCTTTTTCTTTTTCATCTTTTCAACAGATATCTTTCTTCATTGTGCAATAATAAACTTATAAGATTCTACGTGAAAAAACAAAAAACAAAAACATTACTAGTACTTTTCCTTCGCAAAGCAAAAAAATTTCATGTTGACGTACGGTCTTTCTCAAAGCACATTGTTTTAGGAATCTTTAACAAAAAAAAGACTAGGAAACAAAAAAAAATTTCATTAACAAGAAAAGAAAAAACGTCGAAAAAAACCAAGAAAAGAAAAAACATATGTCCACCCCATTTTCTTTTTTGAACAATTTGGTTCTGGCCTATAAACCAAAATAATATAAACCGGAAAAGAAAATAAAGAAACAGGTTTCTTTAAATTAGTTAAAACTCAAGATAAGACTCTTAAAAATATAATCCAAGCTATTTTAACAGTGATAAGATGAAAAACAAAATTCAACAAACAAATCAGATTATATATATATATACATATATATTGCTAGTATTTTGGAAACTAAATGCAATATGGAACCAGTGAGTTACCAAAAGTTTGGTGTTTCTACACAAAATCAAAGAACTTAAAACTCAGAATTATGTGATTTGTTACACTTGTCTGTACATACATATTTGTAATAGACTAACAAAAAAAAATGTTGTTCTCGTTTTGATGTCCATGTTTAATAGCAGAGCCAGAAATTTTTTTATTAGAAGTATATGAGAGTATATATGATATTATGAATGGGAGCTTTGATATTAAACTTTAATAAGTTACACAATTTTTAAAATTTATTGGGGATGAATAACCCTAATTTGTTCCATGTACCTCCGTCATACTCATTGTCTTATACAAACAAATCTATCTACCAAAACGTTACAAAATTTCGTTTCATAGCCTATATATCTACACGTTAAACCATCTTTTAATAATTATCATAAAATCTCTGATCTCTATAAGATTAATAGTCATTCTCAAACTTATCCAATTATTGTTTGTAACTATTACGCTTTTTAGGCATCTACGACGCATAAATTATTGTTTATATTTTATAGGCCGGTAGTTCTTTATTTCCCCTCCATCTTGGAAGCTAAATTGTAAAACCAAGTTTAAATATGAGACCAGTCGATACTTTTCCAAAATACTAAAAGTCAAATTTTTTGGATTATTACATTAGGGAAAAAAGAAAAAAAAAGGAGAAGTTAATTCAGATATTGCAAACTTATATAGTTATATGTAAGGAACAGAGTATGCAGTACGAAACGAGTACATATGCGGCTTTGTAGTGAAATTGGGAAAAACTCCAAACCATAAATGCTTTTACTACTTTTTACATTCGTTGTAATATTTATTTATTTTTCTTTGTTTTTGGTGTCTTAAGAAAATGGTCCTGCTGTATGCTTACACGTGCAAGTACGATATAAATATTAATCATGATTTATATTGATACCTTACGAAATTATCATCAATGAGCAATAATGAAATCTACATAGCTGTCGAGGGACAAACCTATGGGTCCAAACAAACATGCATAACCAGACAATTAAAGTACTGTTTTGTTTTGTTAAGTGGGATTTGTTCGAAAATAAGGAGCACATCACTGATTTTTTAATTTTTAATGATAACACAAACTTTCATCACACAATTTTCATGCCGGAATTTTTTTTAAAAAAAAATATTTAACCAAATGTGATATCAAGTGGCAAAATTTGATTCAAACGACAAAAATAATCAAATGATCTAATTTACAAATTCAGCTAATCACACTCAACTCATTTGGGAAGATATTCAACATTATAAAATCTCATCTGAAATTTTACATTCTCTAACTGGTATAGATGATAAGAGAATGGAGTTTGAAGTATTGGAAATAAACAACGATGCTTCACTTATTGCTTTGTAGTGTCAAGGTTGAAGATTGCTAGAATCATATGTTGCAGTAAACACATCGACATTGTTACATAATCTGTTTAAAACCGAGAGTCTTTTGTTCTGTGTAATCTTTTTCAGGTTGTTCATAATTGTGAAACATTGGTTTCTTAACACTATGACTAATATGAATTATTCAGACAAAAGAAAAAAAGAAAGAGTGGTAGTAGTCCACATTTTACATTTCAGCATTTACTGTCAATGTTTCTACTATTTTGTCATTTGAATTTTTCATCTACTTTACTATTCATAGCTGTCTTAACCCTTTATCATTTCGTGTTAGTATCTTTTTATTTTATAACAAAGAGAAGATAATATAAATAAAAAACACACTACCTAAATTAGACGCCTGTTACATGAATTGCTTCTACAATGGAGCAAGTGTCATTAGGGTAATAGAGAGATGAGGACTCTCTCTCTCTTTTTTTTTTCTTTCACATAATCTCTCTCTTTCTCGGTAATATCACCACCAAAATTTTTGCCTTTTCCCAAAGTCCTCAATTTCTTCACATGATGACCAATTTTTTTTTATATCAACATATAGATTTGGTTACAATATTTAATCATCGAAAAAGACGAAACAAATGAGAAAAACAAAACAAAAAGAATTTAAAACACCTTTTTTAATTAACTAATTAATCTAAGCTTAGGGCATGAAGAGCTTGTTGCCACACTTGCACCGCCAAGCTTCAGGGTAATACTCCAATGGAATACTCAAACCGGGTTGAATCGGTACGTGAACCGGTTTACACGGCTGACATTTCCCACACTTCGATCTACACGTCGGTGGTGATGAACCCGGTCCGCCAAACCGCCTATTCGACATTAACCGATCCGGTAAATCCGATCCGGTTCTTTGACCAAGCCATCCACCTGGTTTGACCACCGAGTTAACTCGCTCTCCATTACACATCAAAGATATAAAAATAATAAAAAAGTTGTGGCTTTCTTTAATTAATGAAACCATAATTTCCTGATTAAAAGAAATTTCAAGTTCGAGTAGCAAGACAATCAGAGTTTTTACAAGAAAGAGTGTGAGTTTATTGGGTTCTTACCGGCGGAGGCTGCGGAGGCGGAGAAGAGGTGGAGGAGAGCAAATGCAGCGATAGCAGATAAGAGAAAGCGACGGCGGCGACGACGGAGGGTGCCCATTAGCAAGAACGGCGAGGATGCGCACGTTAGCAGAGACAAGTGTTTGGTTTAGTTGTTTTTTTTTCTCTTGTGAGAGAGATTTTTTTTTGGGTTTATGTTTGTGTGTTTGGGGTCTGGGGTTATTCATTCGGTCTTAAGTCAAAAGAAACTTAGATAGAGAGTGTGTGTGTGTGAACAGTGTGATAGAATAGACACATGAAGCTTTTGGAATCCAAATATTAAATTCAAATTGCTATGTCTCTTGTTTTGTTTTCTTTCTATTTGACTGTATTTTTCTTCTCTTATTATATCTTCCATTATACTTTAGTGACAGTGTTCACTTAATACCAAACCCATTAAGCAAATAAATTTTAAGATACCTCATACCTAAAATTGATGATGTACTCTTTAGTCTCCTAAAATTAGATAATTTGCTTTTTCTTGAAAATGTTTTACGAAGATAGATGTTTTGCATTTTATATACTTTTTTAATTTAAATCCTATTTCTTAGAATTAAATTAAAAAAGATCACTATTAATTATATAATGAAATCATAGAAATGTTGATTTTCGAAAAATATGTATGTGAAAAGTTAAAACATAGAATAATTAACTTTGTGAAACGAAAGGAGTTCCTTGTGACAATAAAATAAATGAAAACTTTATTTGATTTTAGCATAACGCTAAAAATTCTAGTAGAGGATAAATTACAAAGATGCTGCAGCGGTTCCCAAAATTAATAGCTCATGAACCAATCATGAACCAAAATTTCAAGACAATAATGAGTTAAACAAGTGGTGTGTCTAACAATAAGTTTGCCCGTCCTTAAAATCAAACTATGGTTAACAGTGATCCTTTCAAGTTAATAGAGATTAGATTCTGCAGTGGTCCTTTCCTTTCGAAGACATCCTTGAAATTTTAAACAGAATATAGAGGTTCTTAATCAAATTATTTATTATGACAAGTAAGTAGCTGAGCAACTAATGAGTGGATTTAGCACACACACACACAAAAATAAAAAATGAACGAGTGGGGCTCATGGTGTAGGCAAAATAATTAGGTTGGGGTTTATGGAAATTACTGGTCAGGTTTTCTTTTCATCTTTCTTTTCATTTTGGCAACCTTTTGATGTTTCTTTTTCTTTTTTAGGTTTCAGACCTACGTTAAAATTACTAATTCATTGATATGCATATTGTTTTAAAAAAAAAAAATAGTTTCAGCTTTTTAAATATATTTGGTGTCACGCTTCTCCTCTTCGTTTTGTCATATCGTCTAGCATGATCGCATCTGGAGATACGTAGGTAGGCATGCACAACAAATCCGGAGTTTGATATATAATTTATTCCGCAATATTCAAACAAATATACATTTTAGGATATAGTATACTTTATAAATTATAAGTAGTATATCTATAAACGAGGATCCTGAAATTCCATTTTTTTTTAACATTAGGATTTTCAAATTTTGTTTCCTCAGTTTACCTGGTAGATCATTTAAACATTGGATCACCATGATTTCATTAAGATTAAATATCTCACAATATTTGACCTAAATACTAGTATTTAAGATAAATGAACCAGTGCATTCATTGCTTTTTTTTGTTCAAATGGTAAAGTATATAACTGATATAAAATATTAGACCTGAAATAGAAGAGAAAAATAAAACCACCATCTTCAAATGAAATATGTTAGGAAAAAACCTACAATAGAAACGAGAAAAAACATATTCTAATATACACAAAAGAAAATCCGATCAATATAAGCTTTAAACGATTAGAAAAATAAACTTAATATAAAATATTTATAAGTATGAGTCTAACGCATACCCAAAAATTAATTCATAAATGGAAGATTGCCAAACATTTTTATTTTATCCATTAATCTCTCAAAAATTAATTTGGAACAAACACAATTCTAATACATTAATTTCCTCATGTTCAAGATTAGATATTTGAAATATAAAGTTTGTGAGATTAGACATTCATGAATATGTCTTAGACATAACCTAACGTACACACAAAAACTTACACAAAAACCTATATTATAAACGAGAAAAACCTATTCTAATATATACAAAAGAAAACCCGATCAATAAGTATGAGTCTAACAAAATTAATTCATAAATAGAAGATTGCCAAACATTTTTATTTTATCCATTAATCTCTCAAAAATTTATATGGAACAAACACAATTCTATTACATTTTTCTCATGCTCAAGATTAGATATTTGAAATATAAAGTTTGTGAGATTAGACATTCATGAATATGTCTTAGACATAAGCTAACTTACACACAAAAACTTACTCAAAAATCAAAATAGAATATTATCATACACTTATATATAATATTATCCATATATTTCTCAAAATTTCGATATAGGACAAACACAACTCTAACAATGAAAACTGACTAGAGTTTGTAAAATTATTGATCAAGTCCAAGTTAGTTTTAAACAATCTTTGACTACATGGAACATGGGTTGTTGACATGTTTCTGTTTTATTTGTTTTAATGGTTGATCATGAGGGACAGTTTTACGCTTTTGATCGGACTTCTACCAATTAAAATTTTTGTTATCATTTATCTGTCTGAGCCTATCCATATAAAAACATATTGGTTCCATATGCGGTCGTCTGATTTGTTGTCTTATCATATGCAATAGTTGAAAATCGCGAGAACTACTAAGAACAATCAAACAAAGATGAGGCCCAAATCAAACAAGAAAATGACTGAAAAGATGTTAATGGGCTAATGATAAGACGTAAGCCCATTAATGGATGATGAGTGTCCCTACAATTAGAGGAAACAGCTCCTGACTCACTGACTCATCCTCTGTACTCGACCCACGCACTCGCGACCCCTCAAACCTGCAGTAACCAAACCTGTACGATTCTTCAATCACTGTTCATAATCCTTATGCCATAGTATAAGTTATTTTTTACTCCCTCTGTTTCATTATAGTTGATTTTCTAGGTTTTTTTTATTGTTTCATAATATTTGATTTCCTACATCTAATAAATGTATGTCTCTTCTTTAAATTGAATGAATAATATTAATGCATGTTGCTTTACTCTATTAATGCACAGTTAAAAAAGAAAAAATAATAATATAAATAATGAAATCAGTTGTAAAAGTAACTTAATTAATAAAAATAAACAATAAATAATTAAGCATTTATAGTTTTCTTAATCTGTGTGTAAATATTCAGAAAATCAACTATAATGAAACAGAGGGAGTATATAACTTTTATTGTACTCGATTGTGTAGATGATGTTCATATCCATATAGAATCTTTAATTTAATTTACAATTCACAAGGTTAAAACTTACAATATAGGTGGGTCATGTTCGAGGGTCTGCTACCATATGTTGTTCATTTACATACATATCGCAGCATCATGCAATAAATCGCGGTGATTTGTGATTAAAAATTTGAATCGTTGATTTTTAGTAATACATTTTATTAAAAAAATTACGATTAGTCATGCAATAGCGAAATAAATATCATAATCAACAATAACTCGAACAAATTAACCCTAAATTTAAAAAATGTAATTTGTGTTAATCGTTAATAATAGATTTATTTAGCAATAATTTTTATGTATTACTTTTAAACTTTTAGTCATCAAGAATAATTATTTATTTTATGAATAAATATATATAAATAATACATTTTTAAAATATAGTCTCAAAAATTATAACCATTTAGTGATTAATTGCAGTGATAATAAATGAAGCTCAAGAACAAGTCACAACGATAGCAAAACGAACAACAAGTAGCGACATCTGATCGTAATCGCTAGTCACGGTCATGGATTACAGTCACTAGCAGGCAGCAGCTATTAAACTAACAGGGTCGTGATGTTAGTATGTTACGTTCTATTTATGGGTTTGTGTTTTACAATTTGGTATTGTGGTAATGCCTACGTCTGAAGCAAATGTTAGCATTTAAAAAACTTAATATGACAAGGGGAAGTTTCTATGGTACTGTTCAAGCACAAACCTTAAACAGTTAAATGTAATATGATTCATATGTTAGAGATTATGTGTTTGTCATAATGTATCCCTCTGTTATATATAGGCAGTTTTAATGCCTTGCACGCTCAAGTTAATTATCAGATCAAAGCTTTGATTGGTAATTTGTGGAATGACAAATTGTGTTTTAAATACAGTTCACAAATATTTTGCTAATCAACAAAATTTGTAGAATAAAAATAAAAACAAGCGTTTTTGCTTAAAAAATATAAAGAAAAGTCATTGAACGGAAAAACAAGTTTAAAACAGATTATTTTATTCCATAAGCATCATTCCACTATTTTGCCATTCCACAGATTATTAATCAAAACCTTAAATACAAGATTTCCATGCAAGAGTTCTTAAGAGTGCTAAGACTAGCTGACCCACAAACTTAAGATGTAACTTCAAACTTCAAAGCACCATTCGATTGTGCGAGCCTATAACATACGGCATATCTCTTAGTAAAATGTCGATAACTTAAGATCTGTTGTAAAAAAAATCGATAACGGCACTTTAAGATGGTGGGATTGTTGTGGGTTAAGGCTGTTTGTTCCCTCTAATCTAAATTTAGGAGTCCGGATTAATGCAAAAAAAAAAAAAAAGGAGAGACAGATGCATCTTGTGTTAAAGGACATGTTACCAACGTGGATCCATTTCCTTGATAACGACTCCTCCTTTCTTTTTTTTATTTTTTTTTCCTGCCCATCAAATACAATCACATTTGGCCCAACATATTAGTGATCCGTGGACCACCATCGGTTAGCTCGTTATGATCGATATGGGAAAAGATAACACCTCTTGCTCGAGCTCCTTTCGCAAGACTATCCGCCCGGATATTTAGATCCCTTGGAATATGAGATAAAGTGCACTCTGAGAAGCTCTCTTGAAGGAGGCGAAAAATATCTAGCTCTGCATTAAAGGACGGCCAATCCGCTGGAAACTCAGTCATATTCACCAGATCCGAACAGTCAGTTTGAAAGTGAACCGAAAGAATCTGTCTCTCTCTCAAACATGACATAGCCCACAGGAGGCAATCCATCTCGGCGTGGAGGGCCGAGAGGCTTCTACGGCATCCCTGTAGTCCAAAAAGTTCATTTCCTCCGCCATCCACAAAGCTCCATCCGAGGCCGCTAACCTGTCCGCGATTGATCCAAGAGGCGTCAATCCGGCAT